CAGGCCTTCCTTCCGCCACCTGGGCTGCCTTCCTCCTGGGGGGGGGCTTCCCCTGGGCTCACTCTCTCCCTCCCTGCCTTCCTGCTGCAGCCTGCCCTTTTGGTCTCTGTCCACAGGGATGCTGGGACCTCCTAGACTGCACAAATGTAGGAAAGGGTATAACATAGATAGGAAAAGGGGCAAACTACCTCCTGGAGAGAGAAATAAAGTATGGAGAGATGAAGTAGGCAGATTGCCTGGAGGGTATGATCATTTAAGCCCCTAGCCCTTTGGCTTTAATAGTTAATTTTCAGATAGGGTCTCCAGATTTTTGTGATCCTCTTACCTATGCTTCCTGTGTAGCTGGGATTATAGGCATGACCACAACACTCAGCTGGTTTGTTGAGATGTAGTCTCAACTAGCTTCTTGTCTCCTATCTCTGCCTTCCAGATAGCAGAAAATACTGGAGAGAGCCAGACTCTGAGAACTTTCTATTTCTTAAGGAGCTCCAAATGAAATATGCAAATGTCCCAAGGAAGAAGGTTGTGTTTCTACTCTCAGGCCTCCAGGGAAATAACTGTCTCACACCCAGGCTGAGCTGTAGGACCCTCAAGAAGCAAGGGAGAGCCCCAGAAGCTATAGAGCAAAGCCTGGTGGTAGGGGGCAGTGTAGCTCAGGAGGACAGGGGCAAATGGACAGATGGGCTCAGGGACCTGCTCTGCGCGAGGTGGGCTTGGCTAGAGGTGAGACTCAGATCAGTGTCCTTGACCAGAGATTTGACGTGTCGTGGTCTGAGAATCTAGTTGATTCTCTGGACAGGGAGAACAACTCTGAAGGGCAGCACAGAGCCAGCTGTGACATGGGGGTCTAATGCACCAACTGTGAATGTAACGCCGCCGGAGGTGACCCTTCACTTCCCAGCACTCACTCCGCCCATAGCCACGGACCAAGTCTGCACCCCACACTAGGCGCTCAGGCTGGAGCTGCAGGGCCACCCTGGGTAGCTGTGTCTGGAAGTTCTCCTGCCCGTCTGCAGCCAGCAGCGTCTGGACGCCATGCTGCGCCTCGGTCACACCTGTCTCTCTGGGAACTGGAAGCTTCTGAGCTGGCTCCCTCTAAATGTCCTTCTGACCCAATGTGTTGCCCTTTCCTCTCCTTTCTAGAAGCATGTGGTTGGTTCCAAAGCCAAGCCTCCACTTGGTACTTCTTGGCAGAGACCAGCTCAGACCAGTTCTCCTTGCTGACACCTTGCTCTTCCCAGCCTCTCTCCCTTCCTGCGTCTCTGCCCTGAGTGAGCGCCTGTGCCCTAGGAACGTGGGCCGGGCCCTGCCTCTGCCCTTCCCAACAGGCGGCCACGGGACCTCCAAAACAGAACAAAGCTCTTCTCCCAGTTCCTCTCCTCACAGCCTCCCCAGGGCTCCACGCTGTTCCAGTTTCTGGGTCCTCCTTCCTTCCCATTCTCAAATATCACACTTACTGTGTACAGGGCCCTTTGCTGAAGACACAAGTGCCCCAGTGTTGGCCTCCTGGGCGCGCGCGTGTGTGTATGTGTGTGTGTGTGTGTGTGTTGGTACTAGTGCCTACAATGTTGTTGCTTAGCTTTTTCGCTTGGGCTGGTGCTCTACCACTTGAACCACAATTCTAATGCCAGCTTTTTAGTGGCTCATTGGAGATAGTCTCATGGACTTTCCTGTCCAGGCTGGCTTTAAATTAGGATCCACAGATCTCAGAAGATCCTCAGATCCCAGATTCTCAGAACTCCTGAGTAGCCAGGATTACAGGTGTGAGCCACCTCTTTTCTGACTCTTTCTGATCATGCCATCTCTGCTATTTTTTCTTCCGGTACCTGGATGCTGGTTGTTTTGCTGTTGGTGGAAGTGTGTTTTATTTTTGTTGTTTATTGCCATACCCAGGACTCTGCCACGTAAGCTACAGTCTTAGCTCTCTAGGATGCTGGTTGATCGTTTTACTTCCCCTGTCTAGTTGTGTGTGTGTGTGTGTGTGTGTGTGTGTGTGTTCAGAGTCCCCCTCTAAGTGAATGGTTCCCAAATGCAAATCCCTATTTCCAGCTCCTTTCCTGGGGACAGTTCTTCCTGCTGGTCAGCCTAGCAAAAGTAAACTCATTCCTTCCTTCCCCCTCTTCCTTCCCCTCCTCCTCATGCTCCTTCTCCTCCCTCTTCCCTTCTCTTCCCTCCTCTCACCAGCCCTGCTCTAGGATCCAGTCCTGCTTCGTACAGGCTGTCTCTAGGATCTCTCCGATTAGCTGCTTCCTGTGCTTGGCGCATGCCCAAGGCTGGCCCTTCACAGTCCCATGCCTGAATGCTGTCTCATCTCTCCCAGCTTGCAGGCTGTGGGCCACCTCTGCCTGCCCAACCCAGCTCCCAGGCTGCTAGGGGGTTCATGTGGCCCAAGCGTGTCCTGGATCCCAGCCCTTTAATGCTTAAAACGAGTCCTCCCCTCCTCACACACGTCTTGCTCTGAGAAACTCTTCATTCCCGGGCTGGGAACTCTCCAGCCCTTGGACTCCCTTCACCCCCTGCAGCCTTATCTGGCACAAGCACCTCTATGCTGGCACAGCAGTTATCTGTGGGCAGCATGCCTTCTTCTTGGAGGGGCCGCCTCTCACTCTCCACTCACCTTTCTGCTCCCTGTGACACTCTTCACAGGATTAGGCTGTGCTCCTACAGAATCCATGCTAGAAAGTGTGCATGCAGCAGATAGAGCAATATGTGATTGGGTGAGTAGATGGATGGAGGGCTAGATGAGTAGATAAGCAGGTGGATGGGTAGATGGAAGGATGGATGGAGGGTGGATGGATAGGTGAGTGGGTGGATAGATGGGTAGATGGGAAGATGGATGAGAGAATGGATGGACAGATAAGAGGATGAATGGATGATGGGTGGATAGGATAGATGGATGAACAGGTAGATGGATGAATGATAGATGGGAGGACAGACGAGTGGGTGGACAGATGGGTAGATAGGAAGATGGATGGATGGATGGATGAGCAGATGGACAGAATAAAAAGCATTTCCAAGTGAGCACCAAGAAAGTTTGAGAGGCATTGAACCTCTAGATTGGAATCTTCCCGCGCAAGGGTGTGTGTGATAGTTGGAGCCTTGTCTTAGAGATGCCTTGGTTCTAGAACTCCAAAGGGACTTGAAAAATCTAGAAGGTCCTGGACTCTCCCCATACATGTGGTTGAGCTTTGGTCAGTCTCCATGCTGGAGACCACCATCCTTAGCTCCTCAGCCTTGGCCAGCCTCAGTGTTCTCATCTTTAAAATGGGCTTACCCTTGCAGGATCACACCAAATCATGCTTTCTGGTGTTTGTCCAAGTACCTAACAGACTGTGTGTCTAGTGAGGGTTCTCAAGGTACTATGGCTGCTGCCTCTAGAAGTCCACAGTGAGCCCCTCCCATGCCTCAGCCTGTGATGAAGTGCTTGCTTACATACCCCTTGCTTTGAATCTCCAGAGTAGAGACTAGCCGTGGAGGGGCGGGGGCTTTGAGGACCCTGGAAGGATGAATGGCCTGGGAACAGAGGGGTGGGGAAGGGGAGTGAACTCTGTGGTGCCAGTGGAGAATTTGGTGATTGGGTGAGCCGCAGACTGGCTGGTGCTACAAATAGATAAAGCTGGACAAGATGGCCCATGCCTGTTCCCCAGCTATGGAGGGAAGCATCCATAGGACTGCTGTGCAGCCTGACCCAGGAAAAAAAAGCCAGACCCTATCTCAAAATTAAAGCAACAAGTGCTGGAGGCGTTGATTCCGTGTCAGAGAGCCTGCCTAGCGAGGGCAACGTTCTGGGGCCAAACCCCAGTATTATACCTGTTTTTTTAAGTATAGATAAAAAGATTGGGAAGCTGGGCATCCCAGCTACTAAGGAGATTGAGATCTGAGGATCACAGCTCTGCCTGGCCCCGGCAGAAAAATCCATGAAATGCTTATCTTCCACCAAAAAGCTGGAAGTGCAACTATGGCCCGAGTGGTAAAGCATTAGCCTTGAGTGAAAAAGCTGAGGAACAGCGTCCAGGCCCTGAGTTCAAGCTCCAGGATTAGCACCAAAAAAAAAAACAAAAAACAGACTGGGAGACCAGTGGTCTTTTATGTATAACTCTGTTGCTAGGAATGAACTCTGGAAAAGCCCCCTGCCTTCCTCAGTCCCTGGGAGGTAGGAATATTGCAGCGAACCTTCTTCATGGAATACATGGTGCTTTATACACTTCTCATGCTGCAGCTTACCTAGTGGTCTCCAGCAGCCCTCAGAAGCAGGGACAGTACTACTCTCCTGCGATTTTTCTTTTTAAGGTTTCTTTAATATCAACCTCGAGGCTTAATGATCATTGCACAATTCAGCTCTCAGCCTCTGGAGCATAGCTAGGATGACAGGCCTGAGCCACCAGCACCAGGGACTTTGTGGCTTCTTGGGGGGGGGGGGGGGGCAGATGGCAGCCCCTGCTTCTCTTGGGTGCAGGGAGGAGGGAGAGGGAGCGGCCTAGGGAGCCGCCCAGGAAGACCTGGCCCTTCGACTGTCTACTGCGCAGACAGAGCTCATGTCCCCACTTACAAAGCGCGCAGGGCTGGCCAGGCGGGGCGGTGGGCCTTGGGGGGCATTCTCAATACCACCGGGCCGGAGACTTTGTGGGGTGCAGGGACATAGCCCAGGCCTGCCAGGGGGTGCTTTGCCGAGTGGCTGCCTTTGGGGGGGGCAGGAGCAGCTGGTCCAGGGCGCTGACCTCACACCCAGAGGGACACGTCCCCGTCCCTCTGTCCCTCTGTCCCTCTGTCCCTCTGTCCCTCTGTCCCTCTGCTCCCCGTGTGTCGTGCGTCCATGGCTCCGGTATGACTCAGTCCCTCCGAGTGTGCCAAGCCTTCCCGTGGCTGAGAAGGAAGAAGCGGGCCTGGTGGATGGACGGGCGGGGGGGGGGGGAGGCCGGGGTGCAGAGCCCGGGAGGGGACCTGACTGCGGGGACCCCGCCCCGGGCGGGGCAGAGGTGGCACCGGCTGGGGATGCGGGGATGCGGAGGCCACAGCCCGGGCAGCTGGCTGACCCCTGCCGTCATTTCCTCCGGAGAACAATGGCTCGCCAACGCAGCGCGCGGGGCCGCGTGCGGGGCGCGCGCTCC